TTATATATTTAGAATAAAATTTAAATTTGTGATAGAAATCATATTGAATAAAATTTAAAATAGAGATGCTTGGAAATTTTTTATTTTAAATATGGGGTAGACATTGGGCTGAATTTTTTTTTGCAGACATAGCCAGGCCTGATCAAAAAACTAAGTCCCATGCAACTTTCATAAAATTTTGCCATTTATTTCTTTTGAAATTTAATAACAATATCTTAAATTTTATTTTATATTTAGAATAAAATTTAAATTTGTGATAGAAATCATATTGGGTAAAATTTAAAATAGATATGCTTGAAATTTTTTTAATTTTAAATATGGACCAGACATTGGCCTGAAATTTTTTTTCTCAAACCTGGCCAACCCATAATAATTTTGTATTTTTTCTTAAGCCAGGAGATAGGTAAATATCTGAAAACCATATTGTTGGGAAAATTTTCTCAAGCCCGCCAAAGACCATAATAATTTTGTTAAACTGAAATAAAATATATAAAAGTCATAATTCATTTAAAAATAAAATCAGAATATGAAAGTTGCATGGGATTGGTTTTTTAATCAGGCCTGGCGATTTCTGCAAAAAAATTTTCAGGCCAATGTCTAGCCCATATTTAAAATTCAAACATTTCTATTTTATATTTTACACAATATGATTTCTATCACAAATCTAAATTTTATTCTAAATATAAAATTAAATTTGAGACATTTTTATTAATTTACAATAAAAATAAATAGCAAAATTTTATGAAAGTTGCATGGGACTTGGTTTTTTGATCAGGCCTGGCTGTATCTGCAAAAAAATTTTCAGGCCAATGTATAACCTATATTTCAAATTCCAAAATCTTAAAGCATCTCTATTTTAAAATTTATCCAATATGATTTCCATCACCAATTTAAATTTTGATATTTCTAATATATGCTCACGGTATACATTGCAACAATTTTACTTCTTTTCTCCTAAATTTTAATATTTATATTAAATTTATTAATAAAGTATATTTAGTACCATACACACAAACTAAATAATTACCCTTCAACCCCGTCAGCTCAGCTAGTATGGTAATAAATGGCAGAATTTTAAAAATATCAGCTATTAAATAATATATATATATAATGAATATTTTAAGTTTAATTATATTCTGGTGCATGCTTAAAACATACGACTTTGAAACTGGAGGTCTGTGGTTCGACTCTCGTAGAGAGCAAAAAAATAACATTACACTATATAGTCTCCTTAAATTTTAAATACATTAGGAAGATACGAAAACGATCATGTTTTGATTATGGAGATTATATATATTAGATGATTTATAAGCCCATTATATATTTTTAATATTTTATCATTAATTTATATTTAAATTTATGTATTGGAAATTGTCAATATTTAATAGTCACTACCTAATAAATTTCTGAAACTTAAGATATTCTTAAATAACTTCGAATATAATTCTAATATATAAAAATTATATTATTAATTAATTAATATATCCAGGGGCGTCACGAGCCTTTATAATCTCGGGGGGCTCAAAAAATTTTTTTTTAGCTAACATTATCCAAAATTACCTTTTTTATTTAGTGGTATAAAAAACAAAATTATGATGGGGCTCTTTAAATTTTTCAGGCAGCACGAGTCCCTGCACCCCCCCCCCCTCCAATTGATCCTACTGAATATATCGTATAATTATAAATACATTAATAATATTTATTAATTTATTTAATAATTATTTTCACAATAAAGAGAAACTTATTTATATGAAATATTTCTTAAAATTTGAATTTATTATCAACAAACAACAAGTTTAAACATTTTTATCTTCACATAATTATATGTATATTCTTTATGGATCCCTTAAATCCAAACAATCAATGTACGAGGTCTTAGAAATTTCTAATGGTTACATGCAGAATCGAATATCAGGAGAATTGTCTGGTTGGGTGATAACACCACTATATTTGAAGAAAAAACTAGACAATTTTGTCATAGTGGATGGAGGATTAGAAAATATTAAAATAATTAGAGAAATTATTGTTGCGTTAAGATTTAAGACTTCAGATTTAGAAAAAGTAATTGACTCTGAAAATAGAAAATCTGTAGAAGCACTAGACATCATTTTATAAACATTTGATCTGAATGATAAAAATACATGTTTTGAAATTGATAAATGTGATAACGATAATGCTTTAAAATAAAATGTTACTACATGTTGGCATAGAATTTTAATGATGCTAGAAAGTATGAATGGGTCATTCCATGACAAATCAACCACGATTCGGCCGACCCCCTTCGAATTTTATAGAATTTGGTAAGCAAAGAAAGGTTAGTTTAGTTAAGAAATAGCCAAAATTTTAGCCTCGTAATATTTATATTTTTGGAGATATTAGGGTTCAAAGTCCCAAAAATGACGTATCTTTACCATCTGCCTTCATTCAATTAAGCATACCTTAAAAACTACATAATTTTAAATAACAAATTTAATATCAAAATTACGTACAAAGATTCTACTTTCGGATAAAAAAAATTTTTTAATTTTTTTTCCAAATTCCGGTCATTTTATTCAATATGCAAGGACTAAAAACAATTTTTTGGAAATAATACGACTTTCAATTTTTTTAAAAAATTTATTAGACATTAGTAAACTCTTCCTTTATATTTTTTAAAAAAAAATTGGTCTGGGACGCGGCCATCTTCATTCTCAAAATCAATAAAAATGTTTAGTAAAGTGTATAAATATTTTCTCGAAAGGGGGCGTCTTTGTATAAAATTATATATTAATTAGTTTTTAATAGTTTTTCTTATACTATTTGATATAATTTTAAGGATTATTGATATTGTAAGTGAAAATAACAATAAATGGGACTTTCATTCAATTATATAAATTGTCTATCGATAAAAGAAATTTAAATTATTACTTTATTTATAATTTATTATAAAATATTTTGCCTATGTAACATATATTTAATGAATATTAATAAAATATATTCAACGAAGTTTTTAGTTCTTAAATATATGAATCAGAATCTTGTGCATTTCATATATGGCGCCCTAAATATTTAAAATAATTGATATAATATAAATTTAAAAATCTAATATATAACTCACTTTTAAAAGATTCTGATTTTTCGGTAGCGCGTTTACTTTCTTGTGACGACAATGTTTAACTACGGCCTAGCAGTTAATGGTGAAACTAATGATAAGTTATGACATTTTGGCAAGTAAAGAGTGTCGTCTATACTTGGAAATGTAAAGGAATTAAAAGGTCCTGATGGGTGTAAAAACTTTATATATATTTCTTCCTGCTTTTGATTTTTCACCAAAACAAAGGCTAACCAATTGGAATCATAAACACATTATGTATTTTGATATTTCTCCAAAAATTATACTTTCATCATTATATGATAAATATTCTATAGTGCTTTCTATTGAATTGGAATACATTTTACTTTATCGAGCCATTTAAATAGCTGAATGTGACTTGTTAGATGTTTAAATCATTTTCTCATTGCACATAATATAACGAAGAATAATATCAAATTTTTAGCTATTTTATCTTTTAGAATAATTTGTTTTTTTTAACATTATGAATAAAGTGAATTTTTTTAAAATTTTGTGTAAAAATAACCAAAAATAAAATATAAGATCGATTTTTTTGAAATATATTGACCATCTGATATTTTTTAAAACTGTTAAATATCGACTTCTATCCGATATTCGACACAGCCCTACTTTAGATTCGAAGATTCTCACTATGCCCTTCAAATTAATAGGAAAATTTTAAAATTATAATTGATAAAATTGTTAAATTCCTTTTATATTTATACCCAATAAATTTTATTTAGCAAAAGTTGTTTCAATTTCAAATATATTTTAGTGTTCATGCAAAAAAATAGAAATAATTTTAAAAATTTCGGCGTCCCGCCGCCGATCGTTAATAGTTTTACCAAATGTATATTTTCATAATTAAATACTCTAAAATGTTATTTTACGATAAATAACAAAATTTTTCTAAGTATACCTACATCCCACAATTAATTTATTACTCCTATCTCAAGGTGAGCTTCCACTATAAAATGTTGCAACTACAAATTTTGAAAAATGCTTTTAAAGCACCCTTTGAAGAAACTATAACATATATGTCCGATAAAAATAAATGATAACTTAGATGATAAAAAAATTTGAATAGGAAATCTACTTTGACTCGCATAAAAAAATAAGAGCTATATTTATAATAGCCTATTATTCAATAGTGATATGATTTAATATTCCTTTACCAGAATACGAAGATATTAAAAACATGTTTAAAATAAGTTTTATAAACATCTTAATTTATACATTCACTTGCATATGCTTATTATATCCCCAATATTAGGTGCGACATCTTACAAATAATTAATTTAATGAAGCTTAAAGTAATTTAGCTAATATAATAAATTTTGATGTAAAATTGGCGATATTTTTGAATAGCAAAATATGTGGAATATGGTAGAATCTATAAACTATCATATATCGACATCAAGTTGGTGGAAGGGATTTTGTCTACCTTGCCCTTTAAAGGGAATGGAAAATGTTATTATAAACCTCTAAGTTTAACTTATTTTCCAAAAAGAAATAAGTAATTTGGAGTAATATGCATATATATAAAAGAAAATGAAAAAAAAAATGATCCAGTAATCCTTCTAAATATTTTAGATTTTAATTATATGCACTTATTTATGATATTTTGTATATTTACTAATTATATTAGAGTTAAAATCATAAAAACATAATTGAACGGCACACGGGACGGGTCTAACTAAAAACTATCAAAATTTGATAGAGTTTTTGAAGCAATATTGTAATATATTTATATACCTATCTAAGATATTATTTTGTTTTTATCCATTACATTGGGTAATAATATCTTTATTCTATATAGTTTACCTACTTCTTATGCGTTATTTTTTTTCAAAGATATGTCACCTTTTAGAATAATGTTTTCTTTTTTTCCACTTATATTTACATTCAGAAAATTTTAGAAATTCCCTCCTGGTAAACACTATACCTGAAGAAGAAAAAATACAGATAATTGAAGCGCAAAAATGCTTGTGCAATCTTGTTTATAACGATACTAGGTAACAAATTTACAAAATAACATTTATCTTTAATAACATGCTATGTAGCCACTAACTACACTCAAATTATAAAATAATATATATACAGAATATCCCATCAAAAAAGGGTGATCTAAAAAGAGATGCACTGATACCGGGATATCCGCTAATATCTTCAATAACCGATACCAATGGCCTATATTTCAAAATGATAACCTTCATAATTTATTACAATTTTTTTTATCAAACATTAAGCTAGGGATTAATTTTAAAAAAATGCAAAATGATAACCCAATAGGAAAGAAAGAAGGTGACGTTAATTTTAATTTGTTATACTTTTATAAATTAATTATAAATGAATATAAAATGAAAAAATTGATGATATCTTTGCTTTTTTTGAAAAAAGCACTATAATAATAAAATATTTATTATCGGTTGATAGTGTTTTTGTATCGGCCAAAAAGTGTTATCAGTGCATCGCTCCTAAAAAAGAAGTTAGAAAAGAAAAATACACATACGTTTTATATTTTAAGAATTAGATGCTATTTTGAAATTTTACTATTATTTTCATTTTAAAGACAGAAAAACAAATTTTTAGGAAATTAAGATAGATGATAAAAATAGTAGAAAAATTAAAATTTTATAATTAAAAAATAGATGACGAAAAAAAGTAAGGAATAATAATAGGCTTGGATATAAATATAAATTTCTTTAAAATTACTAGATTAAACATTAAATAATTTAGCAATTAATACATAGATAAGACAACTAAGAGAAAAATTATGGCACAGAAAATAAAAATTAAAAAAATCTTCGTAATAATGATAATAATACATATAAAAGTTCCACCGTATTGTTTTTTCTACAATTGGTATGTTAATAAGCTTTTAGGCCGATTTAAAAATTGTTTCACAATAGCTAATAATTAGATTTTTTTTCATTAATAATTGATCATTCGTTTTAAAAAAATGGTTAGTTTTTCTCGTAATTATACACTATTTTTCATTTATTTATGATTGTATATATAATTTTTTTTATTTTAGAAATAATTTCATAATAAAAAATCAATGAAAGGAACTAAAATACAATTTATTGTAAAGTTTAAAAAAATATTTTAAAAATATCTAAGTCACATCAGCTAGTGTTGTTAAACGGCTCCATTTAACTAATTTTTAAAAAATGACTCAAAATTTTGGCCAAAAGTAAATTACTCTAGCTTATTGATTTTGCCCACAGATGGCAGGTTTGAACTTCTGTTGGCGAAATTTCTAGGCTTAGATAATAATATCTTGGCGAAAATCTTGATTTAGCCCTTTTTTAAATCGGCTAAATAGATCTGTTTTACATTCACCCATTGAAAATATTTTAAATGAGATTATTAACTTTTGGAGAATAATAAAAAAACTTAATCATTCATGAAAATTAGTTGGTTTTTTTTTAAATAGAAAATATTAATATTTTTATATTGTTACAAAGATTAAAGATCATGAATATCATGGGAATCGGACCAGTTTTTAGTATGTATTAATAAAGTTGTCGAATTAATATTAAATTACAAAATTTAAATTCTTTATTTCAAATAAAATATTATTAACACCTAAAAATTATTAAAACATTTTTTCGCGTTTAAATTTTTCGGTATTTATACATTATTTTTAATTTGTGTAATTATTTCTATAATTTATTAAAATTTTTATACCATAATAAAATTATATTATCTTCATCTTGAACCTATTAAATTGTTCGTATTAACATAATTAACTAAGTAATAAAAAAACCATTCGTCTCGGACCACATTATTTGCATAAAATAATAACCAAATAATTTGCATCGAAAAACAAACTATTTACATTCATCAGATTTAATTAAATAAGAAAAACTCATCGATTTGCATCTTCACTTGCAACACCCCTTCTCTTAAACACTTCCACCTAGGGAACGGTATTCATCCCTGCTTGAGACATCAATCTAGACACCTCATTTTGAACGGTTATTACCGTTTATTTATTTGACGCCATGATCGCTCGGGATAGAACCGCATCAGGTGATCTTTCCACATGTCCAGCATTGTCGTGGTTGGCCATAGGGTACCACTAATGCCATTCTGTCATTTCTTCTTGTAGGTTCAATTGTACTGTTCCTCGCATCATTTATCATTTCCCCGTATAATCTTGTGGTTTCTTCCCGTGCTAAATTTAACCAGTTTCTAGATACTATTGATCCATCTATCGCTCTGATTCGTGCAATGTAGTTACCCACTCGCGTATATGATGCCATCTAAAAATATAATAAATATTTGTATATAATGCTATCCCGTCCTTCCGTTTATTCCTCTCTGATTTCCATGCATAGTTTCCATATTTCCATCTATTTATTCACTTTAACCATTAGCACTTATTTCTCTATCTATTTAGTTGAATTAATCTCAATTCTCTACCTTATGTTTCACATGTCTCGGCCATGTACCTGTTTGTTTTTCAATTTCTACCTCTACTTTCGACTTCTATTGAAAAATTTTCAACATTTATTCGTCCTTTCGGTTTTACTTTTTCTTTATTCAGTTCTCGTTTTTCTTCCTAAAAATATCTCAGCTGGAGATCTTTCATTGGATGTCTTTGTGTTGTTGCATGCTAACATTGACAACAACCATTTCCCTTCACCATATTTTTCTCTTTAACTATAGCTACCATACGCTCAACTTGCCCATTGCTTCTTGGGTAATGTGATGCCGAAACCGCATGCTGAATCTTCCTTCTATTGAAAAACTCTACCTAAAGCTGGACCTCCATTTGATACTAACGCCTTCATTAATCCATATTTACCTCCAAAATCTTTTACCTTGTCCAAAGCTACATTTGTTGATACACCTGAAGCATGCTGACAATTGACGGATCGAGAGTTAGAAACTGGTTAAATTTAGCCCGGGTAGAATTCACAAGATTATACGGTAAAATGAACAGTACAATGGAACCTGAATGCCCCAGTAGTCTATGGTGAATCACGACCACGATAATGCTGGGCATGTGGGGGAATTACCTGACGCGGTTCAGCTCCATTCAGATCATGGCCAAAAATAACCAAGCCGTAATGACCGTAGAAAGAAAGTTCTTCTCAGAACGTTCCCGAGAAGGGTTGTTTCGATAATTTTACTTATTTGTTTAAGTTTGATGAATGCAAATAGTTTGTTTCTATTTTATGTAAATAATTTATTTCGAAATTTTTTGGTTATTATTCTGTGCAAATAGTGTGGTCCAAGACCAATGGTTTTTTTATTACTTAGTTAAATATATTAATACGAACAATTTAGTAGGTTCAAGATGAAAATAATATAATTTTATTATGATATCCAAATTTGTATAAATATTATAGAAATAATTACGCAAATTAAAAATCTAAATTAATGTATAATAGAAGAATGTATACGCGAAACAATGTTTAATTTGGTAATTTTTACATGTTAATAATATTTTATTGAAATTCTATTTAATTCGACAACCTTATTGATTTAATACAAGTAATATCGGATCAGTGAAAAATTTGTGGATCAGCATACCCTATTTATTTCGATTTTAATATTTTTGCAACAACGTTAGAGCTAGGAAGATCCTGGCATCCAGTCTAGCACCTCAGATAATTTTGAATCGGAATGAAAGATTTTGGAAAATTCCTGGAAATCGAGATTTGGTGTTTTTTGATTTGAGGCTTCTGTTTTTACTGTCGGCGTTCGAGTCGGACCTCAGACTAAGGCTAATGGGTTTTTTCGACAATTCATTTATGGACCTTACGCTTCCCAAACTTAACGATATGTTAGACTATTTTGCCAAATTGGAGAGTGTATTTGTTATGAAAGATGACGATGAATATGGTGCATTTAAACAGGTTAAAGAGAAAAAAGGAATCACAAACGAAACTAAAGGTGAGTTTGAATGATTTGTTATTATAATTTTTTAAAGCTAGATTGCATAAGAATAGGATAGTGAAAATAAAATATTTTTTAAAACACTCTTGAATTATGTGTCTTGCACCCACGTGAATCAATCAATCAGTTCTCAATAATGAACATTTCGATGGCATAAAAACAAACTTTCTTTAAGTCTTATTTTAATACAAATTTTACTGTATTTTATCTTATTTAGGCCAAACTATTTTGCTAGACTCCGAAGTTGACATTATAAATGAGCTTTTAAAAGTGCTTTTTAATGTAACTATGGTTCTTAAAACTTATAAATCTACTGGAAAAGGCTCCGATAAAACTTTGATTTTAGCTACTCCTGACCAACCAGTGCAAATCAAAAGGCTAACCCTAACTTGTCGCTACTTGTTGTGCTACGTCTCAGCTCGAAATTTATGTCAGAGTCAGTCGAAAAGGATGGAACTCGACAGTAACACAATCAATCTTCTAACCAATATTCCTGTTGCTAACTATTGGTCTCTGATTCCCTTGGTACACGATACTGGAGATAATAAATATGCTAATTTGAAAGACTTTTTTACCGAGAAAGTTATGAATGTGGATGTTAAATATGCTAAGCCTGGCGAAAAAAAAAAGATAGGTAATGATGTTAGACAATATTTATACATCATGATATTTTCTGCGACCGTAGGCCATTCAGACAGAACGTTTTTCCAAAAGATTTTCTATGCATGTTTTCAGCTAATTTTTTAAATTTATTTCCAAACAAATAATTTGCCGTAATTTTTTTGCCTAATAGAATATTTTAAAAAAGGTTGATCCTAATCTTTCCCACACGCCATTTAATTGTTGATATAAAAAAAATGACAAATTTTCATTTTTTTGTTTGGAAATAAATAAAAAGCCTAGAAAATAACTTTGTAAAAACGTTCTATTTGGAAATGGCCAAAACTACATATAAAATATATAGAAATTAATTTAAATAATTTTATTTTATTTATCAATTATTTATTTCATATAAGTATAACGTAATCAAAATATATAACTAAAAGGTGAGGAAGTGATCGAGAAATATGATATGACGGCTATAGCAGAAATTTTAGACTTTTTGCGATTCCAATTTGATCAAATCTACCCTTTAAATTCTAAAAATATATCAAACAACGATCATCGGCTGCTAGAACGGGAGGCCATTGTGCCTTCCTTATTACTGTTCAGTGAGTTGGCCAAACATGTAAGACCCATACGTAAATACCTCAAATCCGTTATTTTACCTAAACTCACATCTCAAGATCTTAAATGTTTTCCAGAAACAGGAAACACTCTACGAAATAGGCTTTGCAAATCAATGACCTCGCATTACACTGACCTCAAAGAATTGTCAGCTGAATTGCTTTTTACGCTGTGCAAAGAAAATGTGGATAGGTTAGTCGAATATACCGGTTATGGTAACGCCGCCGGCATATTGGCTCGATTGGGACTTATGACTGGTGGTGTAGGACCTAATCGAAGGGTTTATTCTGCCGATAGCTCAGATAATGATGACGAAGGTTGCTAGTATTTTTAATTTTTGAGAAAAATATAGTGGGTTATTTATTTTTTTTATTTAAAACAAATAAATACCCTATCATAATAAAATCAAATATAAATCACCTATAAAATGATCTCACGACTATTAATCTTACGAGTATTCTGTTTTGCGCAGTTTAACTCATCGTTAATCAACGATCAATTAATGATTGCTATAATTCGGAATGACATTCTTAATCAAATTTTATATTATAATATTTTGAACATTTGAACCGAACTCTGAAATCTAACTAAGTCATTATAATTTTTTGAACCATAACCAGAAGAAAATAACTTTACCTTTATAAATACACAAACCGGTTCATAACGGTTTTTAAAATTATATGTATTTTAAAAATAAACAATACTAATTAGCATCTAGATCCTGTATCTAGATATAAAAATGTGGTATCTGTATCTAGATAGATTTTTGATTAAAATATCTGTATCTAGATATTATTTTAGACGATGTATCTGTATCTAGATCCATTTAAAAAGTATCTTTTAACAACTCTGCTAATTAGTATATAGTTATGTTACTTGATTTGTTATTTCTAATAAAAAATTCAACTTATTTTCTTTAATTTTTGTTTGATTTTCATTTTTATAGTTCTTTTTAATTAAGATAGCAAAGAAATAATATATGTATTATGATTAATTTTAAAAATCCCAAACTTATAAACTAAAAACGAACCGATATGAATAACTGAATAGATTCATTTTATAAGAGCCTTAATGGAAGTGAACCATTAAATTTAACGGTCAGACACCTTGGTTTTAAAGATTAATTTTAAAATTAGATTACATATTATTTTAACCCATGTTACCTTTTTTTATTCTCAATAACATTTGTTGAAAAGAACGCAAGAATGTTAACCCTATAACGGGCCGCTTGGAGTCCGAGGAAGATATTCAAGCGAGACAAAAAGCTTTTAACGATTTGACGGAAAGTGAAAAGGAACAGAGAGCTATAGAAATTGCTCAATTGCTTAAGGGTATGAAGGTTACTGGAACCCTAAAGCCAGTGGCTATAGGCAGAGATGGAAGGCCTATACCTTTAGACGACTTTGACAGCACTATTTAGCTAATTGCATAGAATACGTTGTATATAATTTTTTTAACGAAACCATGATACATATGTTTTATAAAAATAAATGTTCCCAGCTTTATGCAATAAATACACCTAAATTCAAATTATATATATATTGTAAATTATAATATTTCGTTTATAGAGATAGATAATTATGTTTTTATTTTTTCAATTTTTTATAGACATTCATTCAAGTAGATGTGCAATAAAATTTATTTATCACTTATAATTTTCACGATCTCTTTCCAGGTACTAAAAATGAGAAAAGATATGAATTTGAAACAAAAACGATTGTAACTCATTCCTCTTAATGCACCTTTTTAATGTCCTTATCCTTGAATACATGACTTATCAATATCTTATCTATTATCTTGAAACTTTATAGAGTCATGATACCTATATATTGTATATTGATTGTCTATCAATATCTCTTTATTCTCTTGAGATATCTTGAAACTTTATAGAATCAGAACATTGTCTATCAATATAATATAAGTTATAATAATATTTATCATTGTCACATAGTTTATAAAACGTGGGGGAGGGGTGAGGGTGTTATGATGCATTATTATAATTTAGGTGGCTATAAGACAATTACGTTGTCAATTGGAGTGGAGGAGAAAATAATATGGAGCGATATGCCTGTACGCTTATAAGGATCAGGGATATATAGTAGTAACACGTTAAAAAAAATTCAAAATTTTAAAAATAATCGAGTTATATATAAAGTATATTTAAGATGTATAGTAGTAGTAAGGCTTTAAAAAAAAATCAAAATTTTGAAAATAATCGAGTTATAAATATCTTACATGTTTTAAAATAACGTCATTTAAAATTTAATACAAAAATTAAATATAAATATTAAAGGTCTACAAAACCCGTTAAAATTTTACTAAAAGTGCGCCCTGGCCCGAATTTTCTGTCCATAACATTTTTAATATCTATTTTTTAATGGTGTTTGATTTTTCATTTCGATAGATACTGCCAAATTAGGCTATATATATTTTAAAAATTTTTAGAAAGCGTCTATGGCCTGGTTGATAAGAGTGTCGCTTACCAATCCGATGGTTCTGGGTTCGAATCCAGTAAGTATCATGTTTTTTTTATGGAGGCAACTTGATGGTTCCATCCTTAAGGGGATTGATATAAATAGATCGGACTCAATCATATGTGACTCCGTTTTATCAGAGACATGCAGAGGTCGGAGAAAGAAAATTTTTGTGCTCGGTCCGGCCCAGATTTTTTTTAATTAAAATTTTCCTCCCGGATTTCTTTAAAAAAACATTTTCAGCCGTAGACCTTGGTTTTTTTTTTAAATAACGTTTTTCAGCGCATATGAAATCCATATATAATAACTTTTCAAATTATCTTATCTCCCTTTGTCGTAAAAGGATTGAGTTTTGAATCCCACACTTTCTATTCGATTGATCATTGGTAATTCCCCTATTTCATGTTCCTCTTGTAATTTTATATAGTCATTTATATAAGTATCAGTCATCTAACTATTTTTCCCTAGCAACATACGTAATTGCCTAAATTTGGGAGAGAAAAAGATAAAATGATACTTTTCCTTAATAAATTTTTATTTAAAAAATGTGTATTATACTTTGAATTTTGAGTGTATCTTTGTTCCCTTTCACCTAAAATAATGATTAGTTGAAAAATATTTTCTTAGAATTGAAAAAATGGAAATAGGAAATGTGATAAGTGAATGAATGAGACATTTTGTTCTAACACAATTTTTAAATATATTTTATTTATTTAAATTTTTATGGATACTGCCTATTTAAAATATTGGATTTAAAATATTACTACCTTGAGGCCTGAAGATCTAATATATGTTTAAAAATAAGTGGGTCTTATTTCATTTTAAAAATTTTGGCCGGTGTTTAGAAAATTAGGCTGTTAAATGGAAAATTGCTATATGATGACTTGGTAGTATCTATCATTAAACAATTTTCCCACTATCAATTAAAGCTTTTACATCTTTGCTATTTATTTTAACAACAATCCTATAAATCAATTGTGTTTGATAAATTGTGTATTTGAAATTGAAGCATATCATAAATATACCTAATATTTTATTGTTAATTTCAAATATATGATTAGTTCTTAAAATACAAAGAAATAAGTGTATACTTATTTATTTAAAAATAATATTGATCAAAATATTAGTTTGAAATTCAATAAAGAATATATCAAAAATTTAATGCTCAAGCATTAAAATTTTAAGAAAAATCAAAGATTTGCTAGACCTTACATGATTATTATATATAAATTGTGCGGGCCGGCCTGAAAATTTTTTATGCACGAATTTCCCAACCTATTAAAAAAATTTTCCCGGCCCGTCAAAATTTTAAAAATAAAAATATATTTGTATTAGACATCAAAATATATTATATACCATAATCAAGAGAAAATATAATCAAACTTTTTTTATTGGTTAGCTAAAATTTTAAAAACAAAAACCCGATAGAATATTGGTTTGGATTTCTTGGTTCTAAAATTTATTGCTTGTGACAGTTTTGAGGATATATAAAATGTTTGACAATAAAATACTGATAGATATAGGTTTTAGTGATAGCTTGAAAGCGAATGAATTGTGCTTAAATAAACGAAAAATTATTAATTTTATCTATTAGTTATAATATCTTCAAAGTGAGCACTCTTAGATAGATTTTCTTAAAGATTTAACTAAAAAGTAATAAAAAAAAGAATATCTTATGACCTAATATCACTTACTGGATTTCCTTCAAAAAAGGAATGTGTGAATCATAAAAGAAAAAGATCTGATCAAAAAAGGAAGAGTTCCAATGACTTAGGAAAAACTCTAATCAAAAAAAGAAAAATATCAAACAAAAAAGGAAAAGTGTCAATCAAAAAAGGAAAATCCCCAAGGAAAGGATAAGTATTTACCAAAGGATAATTCCTATTCTAAAAGGTAAATTGTTATTTTTTTAAATATTTTAAAAATGTTTTCTTAAATTTTTATTATTTTTCCTTTATATTTTATTTCTAACTTTTTGCGATTTCTTTAAGTCATTTTAAATCTTTTTATTTTTCTTATCTTTTCTCAATTTATTTTTCTTTTCATTTTTGATAAATATTTTGTCCTTTTTAAAAAGAGTTTATTTATTTTCCCTGTTATTTTTCTTCACATCTCTATTTTTATGTCATTTTTAACAATCTATTTTCCTCTTTTTCATTCTACATAACAATTTTATGATTTTTTGCTCCTTAAATTTTTTTTTAAAATTTCACTTAATTTTTTCCCCTTTTTAGATAGACACTATTTTTTTCCTTTTGAAAATTTTCCATTTTTGACTTCCTGATTGGATCTTTTCCTTGTTTGTTTGACGCTTTTCTTTTGTTGATCGGAAATTTTCCTACGCTTTTGGAACTTATTCTTTTTTGATTGGACTTTTTCCTAAACCTTTGAAACTTTTCCTTTTTTGATTGATACTCTTTTACTTTTTTAATCCAACCTTCCTTTGACAGGACCTTTTCCTTTTTTGATCGGAACTTTTCCTTTTATGATTGACACTTTTTATTTTTTGATTGGGACTTTTCCTTTTTATGGGAAGCACTGTATGTAAGATTAAGAAACTATTATTTTACTTTATGTTATAATTCTAATATATAATTATATTTATTGTATTATTTAGTCACTGGCCTAATTGTGAGACTCACGGTGAGTCGCGCTTTCTTTTGTGAAAAAAATACTTTATTGATGTCATTTTTATTCATACAGTGTTCTATATTAGCACGATATTCCATAGCTATTTTTTTAGTATCGATATCTTTCGCGTGCATCATTTTTTTAAAAAGAGAGATAACGGTAGCTCGTTACTAAATAAATAGCAAAAATTATTATAATAATTTTATAATTAATTCTAAAATCATAATCATTTTATTTTATTTTAAAATTTACATTTATAAATAAGCATTGTAAATATATTTTTCAAAAAATAAAAAATTTTAAATGTCGACAATAGAGATTGATAATGAAAATAATTTTGGTACAGATAATATCGATAAAGTAATATCCCTTGAAAATGATGATGATATGGAGTTTCCTTTTCCAAAATTCATAAATATTTTTAATCTCGATAAAAAAAAATTACCCGATGACCAAGAATGAAGACTTTCAGTTAAACCATATTAAAATTAGCTTTTATTTGATACCCATATCAAAAAAGTTATTTTTACACCCACCCCCCACCCCTAGACCAAGTCATACCCATCAAGACCAAGAATGAAGACTTTCAGTCATACGATATTAAAATTAGCTTTTATTTGATACCCATATAAAATTATTTTTCCACACCCCCCCCCCTACCCTCTAGACCAAGTCATGCCCATCAAAATCAAGAATGAAGACTTTCAGTCAGACCATATTAAAATTAACTTTTATTTGATTACCATATCAAAAAAAATAATTTTTACACCCCCCCCCCACCCCCCAGACCAAGTCATACCCATCAAGACCAAGAATGAAGACTTTCAATCAAACGATATTAAAATTAGCTTTTATTTGATACCCATATCAAAAAAAATTATTTTTTACACCACTCCCGCCCTCCATACACCCCCCCCCCCCAGACCAAGAATGAAGACTTTCAGTCAAACATATTAAAATTAGCTTTTATTTGATACCCATATCAAAAAAAATTATTTTTTACACCCCCTCCCCTCATCCCCACACTCCAGACCAAGTCATACCTATCAAGACCAAGAATAAAGATTTTCAGTCAAACCATATTAAAATTAGCTTTTATTTGATACCCATATCATAAAAATTATTTTTAAACGCCCCTCCCCAACCCCCAGACCAAGTCTACCCATCAAGACCAAGAATGAAGACTTTCAGTCAAACCATATAAAAATTAGCTTTTATTTGATACCCATATCAAAAAAAATTATTTTTACATCCCCCCCCCCCAGTCCCCAGACCAAGTCATACGCATCAAGACCAAGAATGTAGACTTTCAGTCAAACCATATTAAAATTAACTTTTATTTGATACCCATATCAAAAAAATTTATTTTTACACACCGCCCACCCCCCTTCCCCAGACCAAGTCATACCCATCAAGACCAAGAATGAAGACTTTCAGTCAGATAATAAAATTTTTTAAGAAATATTATTGTTTTTTAAAAAAATTTATTAGGACTAATAACTATTTCTAATACACAATTT